GGACCCCGGTCTCCGGAGCCCTGTCTGCGCCCGAGCTTTGGTTGGCAGCCGGGCACCCAGACCCAGGGAGTGAGCCAGCACCAGTGACTCCGAAGGAGCAGCCAGCCCAGAAGACCATGCCTGCAGACAGACCCATGGTTAAGGACTGCTCTGCTAGGGGTCCTCGAGGGCACAACGGGGAGGGGTGGCACCTGGAGGCACCCTGGGCTCTGACCAGCTCTGGAGGGCACTGTGCCCTTTGGGACACCATCTGACCTGTACGCAGTGAGGTGAGCAGCTGTGTCCCAGACATGGCCTGGGGGTGGCAGTGCCCCTGCTTCCTCCCAGTCCTGATCTGCTCGTTCTGTAGGGTTGTTGGCTGGTGGATTTGTCTGGACAGATGGAGCGGGTTAGGGAGGTGGTGGGTGGGATGCTGGCCGACTGCTGCAAGACCGTCCCGGTCCCCACCTGACAGCAGCCAGCAAGCTGCAGCCCCACCAGGTCACACTCCACACGCCTCCGCGACCACTGCCTGCAGGCACTTGCTCAGTGGCAGGAGGTAAGCTGGACCCCACGTGCCGAGTCTGATGCTGTTTAAACCATTTTTGGTGAAGTTTCGCTCTGTCATCTCAAACCAAAGGCTTCTGGGGACTCTGTCGGTGATGCATTCCTGGTCAGCCCTTCCTCCCAGCCTGTGCCCCCAGCTCCACCCAGCAGAGCAAGGCCCGCCTTCTTGGAGGGGGGGCCCTGTCATCAGAGGTGAAGGGGGAATGTGTGGAGCACGGCGAGCTACCCCGGAGTGGCTCAGAAGCGCACCTGTTTCATGGCGGTTCTGCCTGTTTCTAGGGGAGTCCGGGCCATGTCTTCAGGGGAGGGGAGAACCCCCCAGGAGGGTGGGACAGGCTGAGAGCACAAGGCCCACCCTGCACTCGAGAGGTTCAGCAAGACCCATCTGAACAGTCGGGGCTCCAGCTGGGGTGGGAGGTGGGGCGGAGCACCTTCCACGCACAGCCGGCGGCCTTGGTGAGAGCGTGGGGGCTTGTCTGTGCTGGGCCAGGACGCCGCTCAGAGGGCAGCGTGGACGGGGCCCCGTGGAGGTGGCGCCGTGGTTCTGCCGTGTATGGATTCACTCTGGTGAGCTCGCCTTCTGGGGTGGACGGAGCACCAGAGCCTTGGCTCAGGGCCCTTTCAGCCTGGCTTCAGTGAAGAGAAGTGGTGGCTGAGGCTGGGCACCTCCGGACCACCAGCCACTCACCTGGCAGAAGCCAGGACTGCTAGCTGCGGTGGGGCTGTGGGGAGGAAGGAGGAGGGGTGGGACTGGGGGTGTCCAGCTTCTGTCACTGGCCTGCTGGGCCACCTGAGGCCTTCCCGCCACTTCCTTCGCCTTCCCACCTGTCACCAGGTAGAGACAGTGTCCATCACAGGCCCCATCTGGGTGATGTGTCCCCTGCAAGGAGGCAGGCTGGACTCCAGCACGCACGGCCCGCCATCTCGGTGCTGAGTGCTGTCAGCGCCCAGCGTCCCAGGAGAGGCAGGGGTCCCTGCGCTGCAGACAGGCTGTGCTGCTCCGTGTTGCAGAGCCAGCCCCAGCCAGCCCCCAGCCCCATCTCCTCGCACCTGTGCCTCTGGCCAGCCTGCAGAGCCCCTGGCAGGAGTGGGGGGCAGTCCTGGAGGTCAAGGGGGTCCCCCTTCCTCGTGCCCCCCAGCCTTTCCTGTCAGGAAATCGGGGGACCCTGTGGACTGTCCCAGCACCCTCTCCTCTGCAGCTGGTAGCGGGGCTGGTCATCTGCCAAGTCACTCCAGAAACCCCCGGGGCCGCTGCCCCTCTGCCCACTGGACCGGCATGGGGCATCGCGGGGCGCTGGTGGCTCCCTTCCCCTCCAGCTCTCTGTGCCGGGTTGGGGGGGTGCACTTTATCTTGGCTCTGGGAGCTCCAGGAAGACAATGGACCCTTTCTCTGGGACACAAGAGAGCCGCTGTTGACACTCCCGGGGCCCGAGCTCAGGCTGGGTGATGGCTGGACGCCTGGGGTCTGGGGCGCTCGGAGCTCTGGGGCGTCTCGGCCGGGGCAGCTGACCCAGTGGGAGGTGTGAGGAACGAGGCGGTGCACAGACAGGGCCTCCTCTCATCCCAGCGCTGCCCTATGTATGTCCAAGGGTGGTGGTGGGCGGTTGAGACCCCTCCCCAGAATAAACGTGCGAGAAGTCCCTCGTTTGACAGAGAGCCCGAAGTGGACGGGCTGGCTCAGGACCAGACGGGAGTGCTGGGTGGGGTTTTGTCTGGATGGGTCGCACCAGCTGGAGGACCTGAGTTTCCCAGGAGGCAGGGTGATGGGGGGTCCCCCGCCCCAGCACACTCTGTTGTGCCAAGTGGCCCCACGTCTGTGTCCAGTTCAGTCTGGGTGGGTGGTCCTCACGACGCCCTCAGGGCTGACCCTCAGCTGCTCCCATGTCACCCCCCATCTCCAGCCCCCCGCTGCAGGATGAGGACTCCTGGGCTGCCTGCCCCACCACAGACTGGGACAGAGGGCCCTCAGGACTACCCACCCCTAGATGCACACGGAGCAGGGGAAAACCTCACCCTGAAGGCCTGACACCGTGGTTGAGCTGCCGGGGGCCCCAGAGAAGGGAAACTGGCACCACTATGACCAGACAGACCTCGTGAGTCCTTCCTGGGTCTACACGGGCCCTCCCCGCCCTCTGGGGTCAGCCCCCTTTCTTAGAGACTCCGATCCCTGGAGGGAAGGGGAGGAGTGGCTGGATTGGGGTGGGGCTGGGGGCCCTGCAGCCCAGCAGCCGGAGTGTTGGCAGCCTCCTGGGATCTCCTGGTGGCCCCAAAACCACAGTCTGGGAACCAAGACCCTAGTGTTAATCCCTGAGTGTTGGCGTCGGCCCCCAAAGGCGGTGTCCCCTGCAGGAACAGGCTGTGCCGCCAGCAGCGCTCGTACCCGCTGGCTGTTTCCACCAGTTCAGCGGGACGGGGCCTCAGAGGCCACTGACCAAATTGGGAATGATTTAAAGAAGACTTTTCTGTAGTTTTCAGATTCTGTGCCTAACCCGAGACTTAGGCCCTTAATGCTGGGCATTCTGGAAGCCGCAAGAGAAGTGGCTGGGCCCTTGGGGGATCCTCCCCGAGGGACCCGCCTGGCCCACGTCCTCCTCCACCTGGGCCCACGCTAGTTCAAGTTCCTGCTGCCAGCCCTGCAGCCCGGGCCGTGCCTCCTTCCTGTGTCCGTCCTTGGTGACTGCTGTACCTCACGGGCTTTCGCTGGGCCCACAGAGCACCCCAGGAGCCCTCAGGAGTGGGACAGGGCTCCCCTGTCTAGTGACCAGGGTCCTCTGGCCTTGGGGCAGCAGCCAGCACCCTGTAGGGTCAGAGTAGGGGGATGGCAGGGGCCAGGCCCTGGGTTTGAGGGCACTGCCATGCCCAGCGACACCTGGAGCTGTGGAGGGTGTGGCCACCACACGGGCAGATGCTTTCCACCCTCCCTGTCCCTTCCCAGACCTGCCCAACCTACAGGCCTCCCTCCAGGATCAGCGTTGACAGACCCCCCAGGCCCACCCACCACTGCCGCAGCCCTGACCCTTCACTGGGACTCGGCCTGGTGGCCTGTGTGATGCCCCCGATGTGGCTCAGAGGGCAGGGCCTGGCCTGCAGGGCTGGGGGGTTGCCTGCTTTTCTGGGAGCCAGCGGGTGTGTCTCCTAGACCCCAGCAGATCCCACTTAAGGTTGGATGGACCCAGAGGTCACTGTGCGAGTGAAGTAAGACTAGTGTCAGTTCACTCACGTGGAATCTACACCATGTACAAGGAGGCAAACATGGAGACTGGGAGGGTGCGGGCTGGGGGCGTGCTGGGCCAGAGGGTGGACCCCACGGTGACAGAGGAGACCGCAGCTTTGGTGGCGGGCACGCTGGAGGGCACACAAGCGTGAAAACTCGCGTCACGTAAACCAGTGTCCCCCAGTAAAAAGAACATTAAAACTCACCCCCGTCCGTGGGAGCCTGCGGCTGGCGGGGGTGTTCTAGGCGTGAGTGTAGGTGAGAGCACACCCACCCCCGACCACCCCTGTGGTCAGAGCTGCTGCTGCCCTGTCCTTCGGGCGCCCGGCTGTCCCCCAGCTCGCTGGCCCGGCTGCGGTGCAGTGCACGTGTGCATGCGAGGCATGTGCTCAGCGGGTCCCCGGCCCCCCCCCAGGAGAGCCTGGGGCCCCGTCTGGAAGCATCTCCTGTGTGGGTGGTCTGAGTTACCCAGTGTGGCTCCGAAGCGCCACCGTGGGTGCATCCAGCTGGTTCTAAGGAGGGAGAGGGAGGGGCTGGGGAGAGCTGATCTATTGTTGTAGACGATTCCAGAAGGAGCGGGCATTGAGGGGGAACACAGGTTGTCGGCGGTTGGCATTTGTGCAGGGCCTACTGGTGTGTGTGGGAAGGGCCCCTTGCCTTGCTCACTGGGGCGGGGGCTCTGAATGCTGGCGTGTGGTGGGGCAGCGGCCTGAGCCCTCCCTGGAAGCGCTGGGGCCATGGCCAGCCTGAATCGCAGTGAACTCTCGGTGTCCCCGAGGCTCAGGGTGTGTGGATAGCTGCTGGAGTCCTTGGACTCCGCTCTTGTTTGGTTTGTTGGTCAGGGTGGGGGAGGGGCGTGCTTTCCAGGCAGAGGTGGCAGGAAGATTGCGTCACAGACCCCAGTCCCCCCACCCCGCCCCCAGGGCTCAGCCCAAGGAGAGACAGCTCCGCACAGGCACCTCCTGCTTCCCCCAGAGCCGAGGGGCCCAGTGGGTATGGCCCCCCTGCACGTGCAGGGTTTGCAGCAGGAGCCAGTGGGGGTGCCCGGGACACATGCCGGCCATCCCACAGGGCTTCCCCCAGGCACTGGGTCCCCGCGGATGCAGGGGTTTGAGGAGCCCCTTCCTCCTTCCCAGCAGAGTGTGTGGAGCTCTGCGCCGGGACGCACCGCCCGGAGAGCGTCTGAGCTCCGGGCAGCGGGGTCCAGGGACCCTGACCGCCGGTTCCCTTTGCCTTTCAGGGAGCAGCAGTGCTCGGGACCCTGTCCCCAGAGGAGCGGAGGGTCCTGGAGAGGAAGCTGAAGAAGGAACGGAAGAAGGAGGAGCGGAAGCGGCTGCGGGAGGCGGGCGTTGCCACGGCGCAGAGCTCACTGGCCAGGCGCTCCGGGGCCCAGCTGGCCCTGGACTACCTGTGTGGGTAAGACCGGCCCCGGGAGCATCTGGTGTCCCGGGAGGATGCAGGCTGTGGGCCCAGGGGACCCGGTGGCATCATCACCACCACCTGCACCACCCACATCAGCACCAGCATCACTGTCGTCACGCTGTTGTCACACGTCGCGCACACCCCACGTCTCCCTCCAGGAACTTGTGTTCTTTTCACAGAATCCTCGGAGCCCAGCCAAGGACTGGGGTTTGAGGCTTGGAGCCGGGTTCAGGAACAGGGTTGCCGCGGGGCCCTGCGGGGGATTCTGGGAGAGCAGACGGGGTTGAGGATGTGTGTGCGCACATGTGAACCTGCCGACAGGCGGGGCAGGGCCCGGTCTTCTTGGAAGGAGTTAGGAGCTGCCGTATGAAGCGGAATCGTCCAGATTCCTGGAACTGGCTGAGGGCCTGATGATTCAGCCACACAGGCAGCCCGGGGTTCCGCCCCTCCCCCCTCCTCCCCCTCCTCCCACTTCCTCTCCCTTGGAAGCAGGGGAGGCTGTGGGCAAGCCCTAGACTCTACCTCGTGTCTCTGCCAAGCCTGGTGACCCCTCCAGGGACAGCTGGGCGTAGGCAGGGCTCACCTGGTGGACAGACCAGTGCCTGCGTCCCTGCCAGCCGCAGCCAGGGCCTGGCACAGTGTGTTACCAGGTCCTTTGCTCCTCTGGGGTCCTCAGAGCACGCAAGACCCATGGGCAGGGCCGGAGTGCCCTCCAGTGACACATGGGCCCTGGAGAAAGGGTCTCTCTTGGCCGGTCACTCTGTGGCCTCCACTCCAGTCCCATCTGAGTCCAGGGCTCCCACCTCCTCCTGCCCGGGCCCCCATGAAGCCCAGCCAGTCTCCACCTGAGATCCTTCCTCATGGGTGGGTCCCAACCCACAGAGCCAGGTCCGGTCTGCTCTGCCCCTGCCGCCCAACAGAGGATGTCCCTTGTCCTCTGTCCTGGGCAGGGACTGAGCTTCGGGCCTGCTCGACCCTGACGTCTCCTGGCTCCCAGGTGTCCCATGTAGCTTGGGGAGGGTGTGTGGTTGTTCGTGGTTCTGCTGGGGCTGCAGCCACGCACGTTAAAACTGGCCAGGCACATCAGCCCGCTGCGCCCGGTGAGTGCCTGTGGATGGGAGGTCGCGGGGGCCCCATCTTCTGTGCTCCCGTAGGGGCAGCAGCCAGAGGCCGGGGATGGCCTCCCCATCGCCCCCACGCCGGCTGGTCACCTGATGGTCATCATGCCTGATTTTTCATTTCAAGTGAAGCTCACAGAAGACACACTGCCTTCCCAGCCCCACACCCCGCTTAGGAATATGAACTTGCCAGATCCAGCTGCACTGCCAAGTGCCGAGAGTCACGGCCAGTGGCCCAGGGCACCTGGAGGGGCCGGGGCCCTGCAGCCCGGGCAGCAGGCGGATTCAAGGAACTGGCGCTGGAGGGAGCGTGCTGGGAGGTGCAGGGGAGAGACCACGAGGACCTGAACCGAGGTGCAGGCTTGACAGACAGGAGGGGGCAGATCAGGGAAAAGCTTAGGGGACGGGGACCCCCACACGTGGCACCTTCCCGGCAGCACCGCCCGCCGCAGCCGACGGGCTGAAGCAGCCCAGGCGTCCGTCAGCGGAGATGCATGAACACGGTGGGGCCCACCCACACTGCAATATCGTTCAGCCGTAAAAAGCAAGGAGCCCCTGACGCCTGCTGCAGCGTGGAGGGACCTTGAGGACACGGTGCTCAATGACATAAGCCAGACACAGCAGGACAGACACTGGGTGACCTCACTTCTGTGAGGGCCCCAGAGGAGTCGGAGTCACAGAGACAAAGCAGAGGGTGGGGGCCCGGGGCTGGGGGAGGGGGAGTGAGTGAGTGATGGGGATAAGTCTCAACTTGGGAAGGTGGAAGGTTCTGGAGATGGACGGGGTGATGGCTGCACGACGGTGTGAATGTGCTTGGTGGCCCTGAGCTGAGCACGCAGGTGGTTAGGGTGTGACCGCCACGCTGTGTGTATTGTGCTCCACACACGCGCGCACACAGTCCACAGGCCTCTGGACACAGGTGTGGGGCGGGTCAGGGTGGCCATGGCCTTCAGCTCAGGGACGGGTAGGTGGGGAGCAGCAGGCCGGGACAGTCTCCGTGTGGCTTCGGGGCGTGGAGTGTGTCTTCCTGGGCAGCCTGACTTTCGGCCGGGGGCCAGAGGGAGCCCAGTAGGGTGTGTGGCCTGAGCACTGGCGAGATGGGAGCCGCCCAGGCGCCTGAGGCTGGGCCGTCCGGCATTCTCCCCTGATCCTGGGCTAGGCTGTTCTCTCAGAGGGTGGGAGGGATGGCCAGCAGGGCCCACCCTTCATGGCCTGAGGCCCCGAATTTACACCAGTCCCTTACAGGCACCTCTGCCTGCAGCTGAGGTCAGCTTCCCGCCACCAAGACACCTATAGGCCGCAGCCACAAGAGGGCGGGCGTAGGGTGCTGCTCTGGGCACCTGCAGGCCCCACCTGGCCTCTTGGGAGAAGGCTCTGAAAACAGGAGTTGCCCTGCGTGTGAGGCTGCCCTGAAGATGGTGTCCCGGGGAGGGGGCGGAGGACCAGCTCGGGCTCAGAGGGGGCTCCCTGCCAGACCGGAACCTGTGAGCAGGTGGCAGGCTCAGTCCTCCCTCCCAGGGAGTGACCGTACCCGACTTTTACCCTGTCTGGGACGTCCAGTATCCTTTATCCCTGACCTCGGGATGCCTGCAATCACACATCTTCCACCTCGGAGGGGGGGGTCCCTGCCTCCTGGGGAGGCGTTTCCGGGAGAGGCTGGAGCCCCTGTCCTTGAGTGATCTTCACGTGGTCCTGGTGTGTCTGGGAGCCTCCTCTCTGCCCAGGCCCCCAGCCCGGTGCCCCTTGCCCCGCCGTGGGCCCAGGTGGCACACCCGAAGCCAGTCTGACAGCCCTGGGTTTTGTCTGTCCCAGACACGAGCTGCTGCTGGGGCTCAGCTGACCACGCGAGGGTTGAGCTGACCCTGACCGGAGCCCTGGGCTCAGGTAGGAGGCACTGCTTTGGGCCGATGCCCAGCCTGTCCACATCACCAGCGCAGCAGCGACGGGAGCCCGGCCGGTGGAGCCCCGGGCCCGAAGTGGGTGCGCCCTGCAAGCCCTCTGCCCGCCCAGGAGGGACCCAAGACTCCAGGGGAGTGAGGTCGAGCCATCTTCTGGGCAGTCCGTGGGTCGGGGTGGGAGCACGCAGCTCGATCGGGGGAGCTGTTCTTGGTTATGAAGAGTGACCATCTGTAGCATGTGCCGGGAGTGAGAGGAGACTCAGGACGCTGCAGAGTGGGAGATGCGAGGGGCAGCTGCCACCCTGGCCCAAGCCCTGCTCACTGGGTGGCAGAGAAGTCGGGGGGCCGTGGACATAGACTCGCTGCAGACCCTCGGGGGAGGGCACTCTCCTGAACCAGGAGGGCAGGCCCTGCCCCCTCGCCTTGTCCAGCATCTTCTGCCTGACCGCTGCGTCTGGGGAGGGGTCGGTTTTGGAGGCTGTCTCTGTCTTCACGGGGGGAGGGAGGCGGGCGGTGAAGGCTGGCTTCGGAGCCAAGGCAAGTGGTTGATAAGCAGCCTCGGGGAGGGATCCAGAGGTGGAGACGGCTCTCAGGCCCCTCAGAATAGCCTGAGGGGATGCCCAGGGTGCTGACTGCGCAGCCCGGTGGCCTCCCTCCCTCCCTCCCTCCCTCCGGTCACCTGCTCTCCTGACATCCTTCTGCTGTTTGCCCCCCTCCCCTTGCTGGGCCCAGGCTTCTCCCCAGAGCCAGACCCACACTGGGTCCTGCACGTCACCTGGGGCCACAGGATACGTGCTGGGGCGATACGTGAGTCCAGGCTCGGGCCGTGGGGTCTCATGCCCCCACCCTGGAGGACAGGTCCTGCTCTGTGGCTGCCGTTCGAAGTGCCCGTGGCCCCCATGGGGGCTGGGATTGGGTCGCTGTGCTGTCAGCGGTCACAGCATGTGTGAAACAGCACAGACCTTCCCCCACGGCCACCGGCGCCCCGAGTCCCAGGCATGCAGACCTCTGCGCCTCAGGGTCTCCATCCAGTGTTTGGGTCTCCCCTTGGAGAGCCCGGCCCCACTGCCCTGGCCAGAGTGCCACCCGCCTGCCTGCCTTCCCCTGTGGTGCCAGCGTCTAGTGCCACCTGCTCTCAGTGTCCAGCGCTCCAGCCTGGGCTCAGGTGCCGAGCCGGGCTTCGCCGTGGTGGCCTCGGCCCTGGAGGGCTTGGGGCGTCCGAGGCCCGTGGGTGACTGAGCAGGCCAGGCTGCTGGGACAGGCTCAGGCCATGTGGCCCTCGGGGTCCGGTCTCCTGGCTCCTCCCAGCTCACTCCCGCCCACGGGCTGCAGATGGTCCCCGCCCCAGTGGGCAGGCTTGCCATGGCGCACAATAAACGCTTCTGGAAGGACTTAATTTGTGAGATCCAGGGTGTTCCTGCAGAGTCGTAAAATGATGGACTTGCAGAGCTGAAAGGAAGTGGTCTTGCGCCGTCTGGTCCTGACGTCCTGCTGCAGACACGGGCCGCCTGGCTGGCCGAGGGTCCCCAGCAGACGTGCGGGACTGAGGCCTCCCCCCAGCACAGGGCGCCTGAGCCCCCTCGGCTCCTCAGGCTGAGGAGGGTCCTCCCAGGAACCTCTGCAGACACCCACGAGCCTGGATGCAAGCAACCCCTAGTCAGCCAAGAGGCCCGTCGGTCCAGACAGACCCTTGCGGCTCCTTCTGTCCAGCACTTGAGACGTTGTGCCCTTTCTTTCCCAGCTGGGCCCAGAAGCAGGACAACTGGAGGTTTCAGAAGACGAGGCAGACCTGGCTCCTGCTGCACATGTACGACTGTGACGAGGTGGGTGTGTGCGGTGGGGCGGGGTCTACAAGGAGGGGGCGGGGCAAGGAGGAGTCAGGCCTCCCGGTCACCTGACCCTGGGTCAGGGGCGAGAGGATGGACACTCTGGCAGTGCCTGTTCCGGCCGCCGTGGCCAGAGGTCTCCAGGCCCCTCGACACTGGCCCCTCCAGCGGGGGTGTGGGAAGGGCAGCCTCTCCCCCCCCCCACCGCCCCCAGCAGCTAGGCCTGGCCAAGAGGCTCCTTCTCAAGGCGGGTTCTCACGGCTGGTCCGGTGTGTGATGACGGAGAGCCTGTGGAACCTAGCGAGGCCCCCGTGGGAGCACCTGTCCAGGCCTGCCTTTTGCAGAGATGAAACCTGGGCTTGGAGGGAGGGTGGGGTTCGGGGAGTAAGAGCCCCTGCTGGTTTGCCCAGCGGCTGGACCTGGGGCCCGGGGGCCGGGCCCTCGGCCACAGAAGGTGCTGACGGTCAGGGGTGCCGGCCTGCGTGCTACAAAGTCTCGCTCCTCCCACTGCAGGCCCTGCTAGGGCGTGGGTGTGAGGCCGAGGCTGGGAGACGCCAGTCACCCTCAGAACAGCCCAGGGTGTGCCGTCCCCTGCAGACTGAGTGGCCTCCTGGTGGGCCCTGACCGCCGCTCTCTCCCCCGCAGGTCCCCGACGAGCACTTCCCCGCCCTGCTGGCCTACCTGGAGGGGCTCAGGGGCCCGCCCGCGAGCTGACGGTGCAGAAGGCAGAGGCGCTGATGCGGGAGCTGGACGAAGGGGGCCCGGCGCAGACCCCCGGCTGCTGGAGAAGACCCAGCGGATCCGGCAGGTGCTGCAGCTGCTCTCCTAGGGGCGGCCGGCGGGCCTGGGACTCCCAGGCACCCGGCCCTTGGAAGGACTGCCCCCTCCTGACTCCCTGGCCAGACTGTTGGGAGGTGGTGGTGGCTCTAGTCTCTTCGCATTAGAATGCGGTCACTCTGCAGTAACCTGGCCTCCAGGGGCCCCCAGGAAGTTGCTTACTGAGGGAAACGTCTGTTTTTCTACTGGGAACATCGTAGAGACCAGCCGGAGCCGGCCCCTCCCGCCAGCTGTGGTCCGTCAGTGGGTGGGTTTGGGCCCCACGTCGGTCTGGCAGTCCCTCTGGTGGTGCAGGCCTCCCAGTCCCCTGCCTGCGCCCACCCAGGGCCCAAGCTGAGGCTTGTGCCCCTTCCTCCTCCCTCCTCGGGCTATGCCACGGCCTTGCTGACCAGTTACAGGGAAAACCTGGGTGTGTTTTCAATAAACACCAGCCTCTGGAGGCTGTGGCTCTTCTCCCGCGATCTGCTCTCATTTCCCTGCAGGCCGTGGAGTGGGCGTGGTCGGCTGTCCTCCCCAGGACGCGTCCAGGCAACACACATGCTTCTTGCCGCGGGGCTGGCCCCTAGTTCTGCAGCCCCGCTTCCGGGAGTCCGTGGTGACCGTCCCCCCCCCCCCAGCCCAGGAAGCACTTGCTCTCCACACAGGAACGGATGCGGTCTGCCCTGGAGGCTGCACTCGGAGGGAGGGAGCGAGCGGGCCGCCGCCTTGCAGCGGCCCCACAGGAGGGCCGTGTGTGCGCAACCTGGGGCCCACAGACAGGCCGGGGCGGGTACGTGTGCTCTGTAAACCCTGCCAGTGGGCCTGACTCCCTGCCCCGGCACGGTCGGCTTCTAGCCTGGAGCAGGCTCGGAGCTGCGCTGCCTGCCTCTCAGGACACTCGCCCTGGGACTCAGCTGCCCTGATGTGGGGGCTCTCAGGCCCGGCCAGTCTTGAGGCCACGGCAGCCCCAGCCTGGGGCCATCCCCCAGGGAGCCCTGCTCCCGTTGCGGGTCTGTGGGCCAGGCGGCCCGGCCGCGGTGGAAGGCCTCCTTGGAGCGGCCCTGCTCGTACCCGTCAGGTGAGGCCACGAGCAGGGAAAGTCCAGCACGCGGGCGTCAGCTCCACAGACGGTCTCTGCACAGCCCAACAGCCGGGTGCCAACCTTGTGGTTCCTAAGCTTTGGGACGTCTTAGAAAACACTGAGAAACAGACGTGAGATACAGGAAGGTCCCCAGGCTACAAAGAGGGGCAGGTCCCTTGTAGGGAGTCAGGGTGGGTTGATGAGAAAAGTGGCCTGGGTTTCCTGGCGACTAAATCAGAAAGGGAAGTGCTAAGGGTACCGGGTCCTCGTGCCCGTTAACGGGGATGGTCCTGGCGAGCCGGACGCCCCCTCGCCCACACACAAAGGCGCCTGGACGCCGACCTGAGGGGCCTCCTTCCTCCCTGAGCTCCCATCAGAGGGACCAGCGCTGCTCTTGGTTGGAACCAGGCTCAGGATCCAAGTGGTTCCTGGGGTCCCCGGGTCAGAGGCGGCATTCTGATGGCCCCAGGGGCGGCTGATGCTGGGGGTCCGAGCCTGCAGCCACAGCACAAGGGCAGGGGGGGCTCCCCCAACCTGTTCTCTTCCAGATTCTGTGTCCATCACGTCAGTGGTCATGGGCACCGCCAGGGGGCAGGATGGGGCTGGGCTGGTGCGAGTGACACTTTCTGGGGTGACGGGGGTGCTGCCAAGCTCACCAACCAGTAGCAGCCCAGCCCCCCACCCCGAAGGAAGCTGCTGCCTTGGAGCCAGTAGCGCTAGAGTTTATGGCTGAGAAGCGGGTGTTTCCCGCTGGCCTCCGCCGGTGAGCAGCAGGGACTCACTGCTCCCCTCCCGTGAGCCCCAGGAGGGTCGTATCCACTGTGGATAAATTGGTGTTGAGTGTGGCCAGTCCCGTGGCTGTGCAGCGACCGTCCAGCCAGTGTCCTGGTGGCTGCCCTGCGCGCGGGAAGGAGACTCAGCCGGAGGGGCCTGGGGAAGTCAGGCCCCCGGAGCCAGGACTCCGCACTCCCCCAACCACACGTCTGCCCTCGGGCGGACAGGGGCACTGGCCGTCCTGCTGGGTTCTGGGCTTGGAAGACTGACCCGTAGAAGCCACGCGCAGTCTTTGCCACGAGCCCACACCCAGAGGTGTGTCTGCGCTCTGGTAAGTGCTGACCGTGCGGTTCTGGGAGCGGGTGGGGGTGAGGGCGGACGTCCCCCATCCCTAGCCCCCGTCCCGATTCCCACGTCAATGAGTTGAAGCAGCTTTGACAGACGAGTCTGGAAGGTGGGTCCAGGGGCGAGTTCGTCTTAACGAGGTAGTGGTTTCTCGGGTCAGACAGACGTCAGACTCTGCAAAATGTGCTCTTTATGGGTCACGTGCTGATTCTGTGTTAGCTCAGGAGCAGGGGGAAGGGACCAGTTTCCCCAGAGGGTAGGTGGTCTTGGCTCTCCTGGTCCCCCACCAGGTGCAGGCGGGGGTGAGGGGAGCCCGAGAATGGGGGCCTGGGTCCCCTGCAGAGGCCGAGAGAGGGCAGGACCCGAGCCCTGGACCCAGCCATCGGGGGACTCACACCAGCCCTCACCTCAGATCTGTTTCTGGACATGGGGTTCACTCCCTGGGGTGGGGGCCCACCGACTGGGCCAGGGGGCCGAGATGTGGCTGAAGTGGGCGTGAGTGAGGGGCGGTGACGGACAGGCTGTCGTCTGAGGGAGCCAAGCTGCGGTGATCTGGGTGCCAGCCTGGGAGGCTCGGGCCTCCAGGATGGGCCACGGGGATGTCGAGGTCGCATGGTGGGTCTCCCCACCCCGGACACCTATGGGCGGCTCCCCCTACCCTGCTAGAGCTGCAGGCACAGCGCCCCACGAAGACCCTTCCTCACAGGAGCCCAGAAACAGGGTTCCCGAACTCCCCTGTGTGTGAGGACACCCCTGGGGTCACCCCTGTTCCCAGCCGTGTTCCAGGGCCTCTGCCCACCCCCAGCTCGCAACCCCCCAGCTGCATTCAGGCCACCAAGGCTGCCTGTGGGGACTCAGGCCGCCCAGAGCAGTGCACTTTTAAAACTTTTTCTGCCAGGACTAACACCTTCCAACCCAGCCAAACAGCTTCTTAAATTTGTTCTTGGCAAATTAAAATAATTGCAGTAAAACTTCAACTAATTAACTGGGTTCTTTTGAGAAAACTTAAAAGTCACCTTTGAAAGTGGTTCATTTTGACGCCTGTTCTTAAAAGCTATGAAAATACGCGTCTTGGCTTCCGAGTCCTGCCACCCGGGCCTGGGTCCTCTGGGAGGCGCACGGACGGGGCCCTGCGATGCTAGCGCCTTCTCTCCCAAAAGTTTTACCGCCGCCTCCCGCCACAGCCCACTCTTCAAACAGCAGCTTCCTGGAGGGTCTGCCGCAGCCTTCATGCCCTGCAGCCGCGCCCTGGGCGAGGCGGGCTCCCTCCGCCCCGCCTCGGACCCCGGTCACGTCAAACCCACAAGAAGAGGACACAGCGAGGGCTCCCTGCCGGCCACCCAGCCTTCTTTTCTCCAGGGACGCGGTGACTCGGAGGCCTCCCACTCCCCCTTCTCCCAGAACCCCACTCCCTTCATCACCAACACCTGGTCTGGCCAGACTAATTCGTGCTAATCTGATGTTCCCCGTCCCCACCCTCCAGGAAGGCCCTTTGACCGCCAGCTGGGAGCAGGGGCTTCCTCTGTGTACCCCCAGCCCTGCTCTCCTTCCAGTCCAGTCCTCGTTTGGCAGCATCCAGCTCACCAGGGAGAAGACGTGGAGAAGGTGTCAGTGTCACCTTCGCTGTTTGCGCGGAACCCACCAGCGCCGCTAACCCCCTGCCGTGGCTTAGACCCCTGCCCGCCGCCCACTGCCAGCCGGCTCCTCGGGTGCTCCTCCTCAAGAGAGGCTGCCTCCGTGGAGAGCAGAGAGCCAGTTCTGGGCTCTGAGACGCCAGGGCTTCAGTCCTGGAAGGGCCCGGGGGCAGGCGCAATGAGGGACAACGGTGTGGGGTCAGACTGGACCAGAGAAAAGGCTCTTGGAGGTGACCTCCCTGCAAACTCCTACTCACCCCTCCCGCCCAAGCCCCCTCTGTCACTCTCTGGGTGGTAGCTGTCCCTCAACCAGCCCGTCTCCCACCTGGGACATCTCTGTGGTTCCCCTGGGGCTCAGGGGCCTGGCTCCATGGCAGAGAGAGCCGAGAACGCTGGCCTGAGTCTGGCCTCCGCGTGGATGTCACCCTGGGGCCCAGCTGCCCCCTGCCACCTCCCTGCACCTCCGACTGCAGGTGGGCGGCAGCCCTGTGCCTGGCGGGGGTTTGCCTGGCTACGTGACCCTGGTGGGAGCCAGATGGGGGCAGTGTAGAGGGGACACAGGAGAGGGAGCAGTGGGAAGCCCAGGGGAGGCCTGCATGGGGTGTGATGAGGTGAGGCTGCACCATTGGGGGTGGGGGTGTCTGGTGTGGACAGAGCAGCGGCTGATGCCCTGGGGTCTGGGGCCCGGGGCCTCAGAAGGAACAGGATCAGGCCGGGTGGGGCGTTCAGGGCGGGAGTGGGGCTCCCCTGCCCACCTTGGTGCCTGGGTGAGGCTGCCCAGCCCATGGTGGCCGCAGCAAAGAGTCCAGCAAGGGGCCGTCTTTCCGTCCATCCATGCTGCCCCGTCACCCTCGGCACCCCAGAGCCAGGAGTTTATCCTGCAGTCAGGCCAGGCCTCCCTCAGTCAGCGCCCCTGCAGCCTGGACACCGCGCACAGGGCCTGGGCTGGCGGCCGCATGGTGAAGGCTGGGGCGGGCGTGGTGTCCAGGGTGGCGGGGCTGAGGCCGGGCGGGGGCAGGAGGTGGTACCTCTGGAGGAGGCCCACGAACAGCAGGAAGAGCTCCGACCTGGCCAGGCTCTCCCCCACACAGACGCGGCGGCCTGCAAGGGACACGGAGGCGCAGGGTGGGGGCTCCTATCTCCTGGAGGGGAGGGCATCCCGGGGCTGTGGCGGGGGGAGCCTGGGCCGCCTGCCCGCAGGGCTGTGGTACCTGCGGAGAAAGGCAGGAAGGCCGCCCGCTTCACGAAGCGCCCGTCAGCGTCCAGGAAGTGGCCCGGGTTGAACTGGCGCGGGGTGTCCCACTGCGTCTTGTCCAGGAGCACGGAGCTCAGCAGGGGCACCACGGGCGTGCCCTGTGGGCAGGCGGCAGGTGGGCTGGCTGGACGCCCCGTCCACCCAGGCCAGCCCAACGGGGTGTACAGGAGAAAGCGTCCCCAAAGACGACGGGGAGATGGGGTGGGGCCTGGCAGGGGTCTTCTGGGGGCGCAGCCCCATCTCCCAGGTGACCCCCAGGCCACACCGTGTGCACCCAAATCTGCCTTGAGGAAGCCCCAGGTTCAAGGGGGCTGTGAGGCCAAGGGCTGCCCCCCGCTGCACCCCTTTCCCACCTCCCATGGGGACACCTGCCCCCACCCACCCCAAGCAGAGGAACAAGTGGACGAAGGGCCAGGAGGGGGCCAGGGGCTGTGTGGGCCCGGCCCTCCCACCTTGGGGAGCAGGTAGCTGCCCAGTCGGGTGTCAGCCGTGGTGCACCGGGGCATGTGGGGCAGGAGGGTGATGTACCGCTGGACCTCGTGCAGCACAGCGTTGGTGTAGGGCAGGGCCTGCTGGTCCTCCGGCCTGGGGGGCCGCCCAGGCCCCAGCACACAGTCCAGCTCTTCCTGCACCCGGCCTGTGGGCGAGAGGGTGGACGCCAACGTCCTGGGAGCCTCCGCCAGCTTGGCCCTGGGCCCCGGGGAGGACGGGCTCTCCCAGCTCACCCTGCACCTGTGGGTGCTTGGCCATCAGCAGGGCGGCCCACTGCAGCGTGGAGGAAGTGGTCTCCGTGCCAGCCATGACCATGTCCAGGGCGCAGGCCACCACGTTGGCCTCGGCAAACAGGCCCTCAGGATCGTTCCCCTGCAGAGGTGAGCAGGACCTGGCTCAGCTGGAGGCTGGGCTCCATGGACCCCTGACCCAGGCTCGGGCTCAAGAAAGGGGAGGACAGAGCCAGAATCTGCTGAGCACCTACTACATTCAGGGGTCACTGCAGCTTCCCCTACAAGGCAGGCACTACAAATGCACCATCTCACAGAGGAGGAGACCGAGGCTCTGGGAGACTCCCAGCCAGGAGGTAGAGCAGCAGGGTAAGTGCAGGACCAGCATAAGTTCCTCCCTCTCCTCCTGGGTGGGGCCCCAAGATGCCCCCAAGGCCTCTTGGGAGGTGAGGCAGGTCCTGCCCACACCTGTCCCTGCTGGATCAGGGCGTCCAGGTAGCTCTGCACGGGGCCCTGCGCAGTCATGTGGGGCCGCCGTGCCTCCAGAAGGGTCCTCAGGATGGCCCGAACTTCCTCGATCTTACGCAGGACTGGGCGGTGCAGCTGGAGGAGGGCTCCAAGCCAGGGGAAGACGTTGAAGAGCTGGGGGCGGGGCGGGACAGTGTGGCGAGGGTGAGGACGCAGGCCCCACAGCGCCACCTGGCTAGAGGGCTCTGTCCTCCAGCAGGTGTGTTCTCTTGTCCGGGACCCCCAGCTCCCCACTCCTGGGGCCCCTCCCTCACCCTCCTGGTGAGACCAGCTCCCCAAGGACTCTGACAAAATCCTCCATCAGAGTGTAGGTTCCATGCGAGTCCCAGCAGGCGACTGTCATCAGGCCCCATTCCCCACCCACCAAAGCTGGTCAGACAGAAGGGGACAGGGTTGCTGCCGTGAAGATAACTTTGAATCTTCTGAGAGTCGTAAGAGAAAAAAAAAGAAGAATTTGCAAACTTCAGAGCGTCAGCCCAGCCCGCTGTGAAATGGGGTGACAGCACTGCCGGTGTGACAAGCTTGTCCCGGGGCCGTGCATCCGGCCCGCAGGCGGCTCTTCACAGGCGGCTCTTCACAGACGTCGGCGGCCACCCCAGCTGCACTGACACCACTGTGTGTCCCAGAACACGAAGCATGCCGGGATTGGGTCGCCCGGGAAGGAAGGCCACGGAATATTCCGTCCCCCTGGAACCGCCTGACCCTCTGGCCTCTGTCCCCCGGGGCTCCCTGGGGGCACTTAGCCAGGCCGGCTTTTGCAAATCTTCCTGCCGGGCTGAGGCTCCTCTAGCCCTGAGGGGTGAATTCGCATCAGGGCTGAAGCCTGAGCCCCCACTCGAAGCCCATGGCCTCAGAGGGTGAAGAGACGGGCTGAGAAGTTCATACACAGCCCACTAAACGTGCTTCAGCGAGTCTAGTGAAAAGTGGCGGTGTGGCTACGAGAGAAACATTTTAAGTTCTGGAAAGGAATGAAATGCGCACGGCCCTGGGGGTTCCGAGCATCAGGAGACACCCCTGTGATACGGGCATCGAGCCCTCATTCCCCCGACCTGCGAGCAGGCGCATCTATTGCTGAAGGGAAGGGGCGGGGGGGATGGGGGCCCCCGACCCCGCCCTCCTCAGGAGCACAGGGACTGGCCTGGGGGTGCGGCCGGCTGACGTCAGGAGCAGGGCGCCCCTCACCCCTCAGCTCCGACCCCAGAGGAGCTTCCCTGAGGCAGCAGCTCACCCTCCCTGGTGGGGGCCAAGCTGGGACCCCCTCCCGCCCCAGTCCCAGGCCCGCCTTCTGTGCTCGCCACTCCCGGCCCGGGGCAGTGGCCTCTCACCTGCAGGCTGGGTGCCCCCAGGAGGACCATGACCTCATCGGTGAGGCCCAGCAGGGACACGAACACAGGGTCACAATAGTCGAACCGCTGGCCGAAGAGGAGCGTGAAGGTGATGTTGGAGGGAGCCCAGCCGAGCAGGGCCAGCGGGAAGGGCTGGCCTGGGGGTGGGAGAGAGGCCTCAGCGGGGAAGGGCTCCCGGGGACGGGGTGCCCCAGCCCCCACTCACCTCTGTAGCTGTCCAGCTGCCCCGTGAGGCACCTCAGCTCCTGCAGGACCTTGTTGGCCACGGTTGCCCTCCCCACGCCCAGGCCGTGGAGGGTGCGCACGGTGAGCTGGCGGGCGGCCCTCCAGCGCACCCCAGACGAGAAGAAGATGCCTGCAGGCGGACACGGCCAGTGAGCAGCCCCCGGAGCTGCAGTCTGGAGCGAGGGGGACGCCCGGGGTCGGGCAGGGCTGGGGCCCCAGGAGTGGCCTTGCCTGGCCCGAGTCCCCTGGGTGCCCGGCCTGCCATGTGGACACCCTGGCGCTCCCCAGGGGCCATGCTGCTGGGAGGGAGGGGCCCTTCTCGGCACCCACCCCTCCGGGGGACACAGGGCCCCCAGAGCAGTGCTGACCTCTGCCTGCCCTCCGCCGCACACCTACCTCCGCCTCCCTGGATGAGCTGGAAGATGGCAATGGGGGGGCGGCCGGCCAGCTTCTGCCCGGTGCCCACCAGGGCCTCCCTCACTGCCTCATAGCCGGTCAGCACCACCATCTTCTGGCTCCCCAGATGGACAGTGAACACTGGCCCATACTGGTCTGCGAGCTGGCGGGACGGCAGAGGGATCAGCCTGCTGCCCGCCCCTGGCCCCGGGAGCCCCTCAGGCCGCCCCCTCTCGCGTGGGGAAGACACGGGGTAGACCTGGGGCCGGCGGGTGGGGGCGGCCCGGCTGGGTCTGTGGGAAGGACGGGGCTCTGTGTGCCCTTCCCCTTTGGTCCTTACGGCACCACTGCCTGAGGCGGGAAGGGCTGACCTCTCCCCACTATATGGGTGAGGAGACTGAGGCCTGGAGGCAGGGAGTGAGTGGCTGTGGACACGCGGCTGTCCCTGTCCACCTCTGCTCTGCCCCCACTGTGCCGGACGGCGGTCTCCAGGGCCCAGCACTGGGCCTGAGAACCCTGTGGCTGCAGCCGGATGGGCGCTGCCCCAGCTGACGGTACTTCATGGGGCAGGGGGCTGTGGGGCCCTCCTCCCCGCCCGCCTGCGGGGCCTGGGGGCCACCAGGCAGCCACGTGGCTGGGTCCTGAAGGGCTCATGGTGGGGGGGACCTGGGTGGGGGCTGGCTGAATGGCCCCCATGGGCGGGGGCCAGGCCTGCACCTCTGCTTTACTCCCGGGCCCCCAGCTTGATGTGGGAAGGAGCCACACCCAGCTGGGGTCCCACCTGCCCCACGGGCACATCTGTGCGCTGGCCCTGGTCTTTTCTGTTGCCAGACCTCTGCTGCCTGGTGCTGCCACCAGGAGCCCCTGCCTCCTTCCCTCCACTGCCCCCAAACCTGGCCCTCCTGTTGGCACTCATCTAATGCTGCCTCCTCCAGGGAGCCCTACTGGCTTGCCACACCTGGCACCCTGCTCCTTGGATGGTCTGTCTGTTTCCATATGAGGCAGAGTGTCCCTTCCCCAAGGCAGGGTGGGCATTTGGGCCTCCTGTGTCTCCTGCCAGGCCAGTACCAGGCTGAACACGAGCCTCTCACTCAGAGGGGTCCTGGAAAATGGGGGCTCAGCTTCCCCCGAGACGGTTTCCCCTTCAGGGCTGGCAGGGAGCCCAGCCCGGGCCCAGGCGTGGAGCCAGGTTAGGACGCGCCTGCTGACCTACCTCCATCAGGGACTGGTCCTGCTGTG